AAGAGTGTCCATGGTTCCACAGCAACATGCACTGCGTGTTAGGTCAGGGTGGCACGGAGTGTGGGCAGCTTGCTTGCATGGTGTCCCCTCTCCACGCCTTAAGTGGTAGCTTCTGCTCGAGCAGACTGACTGTGCAGTGTTTAAAATGCTTTTCCCTCTGGTTGACAGCAGATGAAGCATACCTCCCCTAGTCCCACAGAATTTCTTTGTTGCATACTGCTCCCCTGCATGTTGGTTTGTCAAGCCCGCTCTCCACCTTTCTGACATCTCTGGGGGGAATGTACTTTGTTGAATGGTTCCTGGTGGGAAACTTGGCGAAAGCCATCAAATGTCTTAAAAGTGTGTTACCCTTTGACCCTGCAGTTCCCAGCAATTCCTGTTCTAAGAATCTGTCCTTTGGGAATCCCTGGCTGGTAGACATGCAAGGATGCTTTTGACATAATGCTGCTCCTTACCATAGATAGTAGCACTGAGGTTTACTGAGTGCTTTCTTGTTCCAGACCCTGTTCTTAGCGCTTATGAGTATCGATAGGCAAACATGTTAAATCAGAAACAATTAAAATTTTAAAACTAGGGGATTGATTTAATAAATTATAGTACATTTCAAATTATGAATTAACCTGTGACTTTTAAAAATAGTGGTTTATATTTATTGGCACAGAAGGATGTTTATGGTGTAGTCAGTAATAAAATCAGTTCAGTGATATATACTAAATGGGTCAGTTTTTATAGAAAAGATCTGAAAAGCCTATACTAAAATATTGACTTAGTTTTCTTGAATGATAAGATTATGGATGAGTCTTACTTTTTTCTTATCCGTGGTTTTGAATTATCAGTATAAAGTAAAAAGAGAAAGAAGCACAGGTCTATGGGAGAAGTGACCAGCAGACTTTCCTCATCTCTTTGGGGCTACTGAAATTACCACTGGACTGTCGCTTTGATAACGTCTTTCCCCCTTGCCTCTTTTGCAGCAAAGCGGTTGAGAGCTTAGCTGAAGGGGGCGGCTCTGAAATCCAGAGAGTGAAAGCAGATGCCCGGAAGAAGGTGCAGCAGGTGGAAGATCGTCTCACCAAAAAGATAATCCTTTTGGAAGAGGCACGTTTGGAAAGCTCCATGTGAACACATTTGTTATAGTGGGTTAATAACAGGGTGGGCATTTTATGTCAGTGTCCGCAGAAACAGCAGCACCCTGGGAACCAGCAGTTAGCATAATGGCTATGTTGCTGGACTCCCACGTAGTCGACCGCGGTTCGCGTCCCGGACCCGGTGGGTTAAAACTCACACCGGGCGCGTGTGCGTGCGTGCGTGCGTGCCCAAGATCCCAAGAGGAGAATGGAGAAGGGATTGCAGCGTGACCATCCCCCCTGGGCGGTGATTTCTCGCTTTCTGTCTCTATGTCTCTCTCTGTCTGTCTGGCAAGCGCATACACCCTATAGCAAAACAAAACAAAACAAAACAAAACAAAACAAAACTCTCAAAAAAATATGCATTTAAGGAAACGTCAGATGACATACTGGTTACTTATTAGACTCCCACATGGCCTACCATGGTTCGAGTCCCAGCCCCAGCAGTTTAAGGGACATACCAGTGCAAGCCCCACATCCCACCAGAATGGAGAAGCGGAGAAGGGATTG